GGCCACTGCACTCCAGTCTGGGCGGCAGAGTGAGACTCCAACTCAAAAAAAAAATAATAATAATAATAAAAAATAATTCAAAAAAAGTTCTTGTTTCAAACAACTTATGTAAAGATGAAGACCTATGTAAAGATGTAAAACTTATGTAAAGATGAAGTTTAGAATATGTGTTACCCAAATTAAGATGAATTCTCTGAATCCAGGGGTTCAATATTGGGCAACTTGGCAAGACCTCATTTACAATTTAAAAAAAAAGGGACGGGCTTGATGGCTCAGTCTGTAATTCCAGCACTTTGGGAGGCCGAGGTGTGTGGATTGCCCTAGCCTGTGGGTTTGAGACCCAGCTGGGCAACTTGGCAAGACCTCGTCTCTAGAGTAAATAAAAAATTAGCCAGGTGTGATAACAACGCACCTGTAGTTCTGGCTACTTGGAAGGCTGAAGCAGAAGGATCACTGGAGCCCAGCAGGTTGGGGCTGCGGTTGTCAGGAGCGTGCCACTGCACTCCAGTCTGGGCAACAGAATGAGACTCCAACTCAAAAAAAATAAAAATAAAATAAAATAAAAAATATATATGTATTTTTAAAATTTCATTTTATATATATAATGAAATTTTAAAAAATACATGTATATAAGCAGGTGTGGGTGTGCACCTGTAGTTCCAGCTACTTGGAACGCTGAGGTGGAAGGATTACCTGAGCCCAGGAGGTTAAGGCTGCGGTGGCTGTGATCATTGTGACCATATAACTACACTCCAGCCTGGGCAACAGAGTGATACTCTGACTAAATAAATAAAACATGACATGAATAAATGAATAAACGGGTTCTTTAGATGGTAAAGATGATGACTTAAAGCATGACCATAAAGTGAATACTATTTTTTCCAAGCATTTCAACACCGTTGTAAAAGTTTCAGGTTTTCCTTCCTTCTTGAGAATTGAAGACAGCATTATATTCTCGTTTGTCTTATTTTTGGACATAAACGATGCAATTTTACTTCACTATCGTGTTGACCAGAGTCTAGATTGATTATATAATCTCTACCCTACTCTTTTCCCTGGATTTGGCTCCTAATTTGTTCTTATAAAATCTGTTAGGTGAGTTCAGCCAAGTTTAAAATTGATTGTGTCTCCTAGCATTTTAGGGTAAATCCTTAGTTAACTCTATTTCCAATAGCTACAGTCTCTTCTCTTGCCTGGATTTTGGAGATAAATCATTTCTGAATATGATTCTAAAAAATTGTGTGTGTTATTTTTTCCCCCAGAAAGGCAAGTAAGAAATAAAGTAGAAACTAAATTTGAAAAGCAAAATTGAGCTGGGCGCAGTGGCTTAAGCATGTAATCCCAGTGCTTTGGGAGGCAGAGGTGAGAGGATTGCCTGAACCTCAGGGGTTCGATACCAGCCTGAGCAACATGGCGAGACCTCGTCTCTACAATGATTCAAAAAATTAGCTGGGCATGGTGGCACATGCTGTGGTTCCAGTTACTTGGAAGGCTGAGGCGGAAGGATTACCTGGCTCAGCAGGTAGAGGCTGCAGTTACTGTGAGCGTTCCACTGCACTCCAGCCTTGGTGACAGAGTGAGACCCCGACTCAAAAAAAAGCAAAGCAAAAATGATTACTTTGAAAGTCTTGCTTACTCACTCATTTGGAATGGGAAATGGAGTTGTTCACTGCATTATTTTAAGTCTGTGTCTAAAATATTAATACTAAGAATTGAGTGACTTTTTTTAGAAACCATTGTGGTTTAAGAATATGCATATGAAAGAAAAAACTTTTCTTAAAATGGCCATTTCTGAATTATGCTTTAATATGTATTGTGAATTTTTTAAGACAAAAAGTAGTAATAATGGTAGGCATCACATGTAAAATGTCTTATCCATCTTTTGTATTAGAAACGTCTAAAAGCAGCAGAAGCTGAGAGTAAACTGAAACAAGTATATATCCCAACTTAGTAAGTAATTGAAATCTTTTCAAATATTTGTTATGGTCTTCATTCTGTCATTACAAAATACATCATTTTATTCAATGTCAGCCAAATGTGAATTTCTTTGTGTTTCTTTTTTCTACAAAGCACAAGACTATTATACCGCTGCAATAGTAGTCGTTTTTTTTTTTTTTAAGAAAGAGAAAGGGGCTGGTTAGAGAAACCTTAGGTAGCCTAATAAGCACAAGAGCAGGAATGCCGTGTACTACATTTCTATCAGTAAACTAACCTGTGACTCCATATTATTTGAGGTAAGTGTGTTTCAGAAAGCTAGCAACTTTTGAATTGTCTACATTATAGAATAGGTTTTGTCTGGGTAATGTTCATTGCCCTTTTGAGGTTCGTTGTTTATTTGGTTAAGGGTTCTGCATTGTTTTCTTGGTTCTAATCGTAATTAGAACCATACTTTGTAAGTGTTCAATAAATAATGGATAGGTTTTTATTGTTTTAGGTGTCTAGCCTTCCATCATTATTATCTTTTGGGTTTAGGAATCATTGTCATAGCAAAATGAATGCCAATTTTCATTTGCTTTGTTTTAAATGAATTATATTCTTTTGTTGAGATCTTCAGATTCTGATCTTTTGTTTGTTCAGTAAAAATTAGTTTGAATGCCATGTGTAAATTGCTATCCTAGATTCTTTTTGGATTAAAATGCAATTTATTACAACATTCTATGTGCTGCTTTAAGATTTTTCTCTTTGATCTAAGTACAGATGTTTCAGACCTAGCCTTTGTTTCCCAACTTTTGATATTTCATATGAAGAATGTTTTTTCATACATATAGGAGAACTCACGGACAATGAATTGTGATCTTTCATATTAATTTTTTGCCTCATGGCAGATAACTGTGGTTTAATGTTAAAAACATGTTTATAAGATCTATAATTTTTATTCAGCGTTGTCATCGCTCTTCTGCAGAGTGATTTCTAATTCCCCTTGAATTAGATCTTTTATTTGACTAATTCATAAAAGAGCCACTCTCCAAAGAAAGTACTATCACGACTCGTGTGTCTTGGATTTTTTATGCCTCACAGTACTGCTACTGTGAAAGAAAAAGCACAGTTTTGACCAAGTAGCCCAGATAATTGATTGGCTTTTTGCTGACTTTGGAGTCCTCATTGAAGTCAGGGATCAACAAACTATAATCTGTGGACCAAATCCGACCTCCTGCTTGTTTTTGTAAATAAAATTCTTTTGGAACACAGCCATGCTCATTTGTTTATATTTTAACTAAGTCTGATTGCATGCTATAATGGCAGCATTCAGTGGTTGTGACAGAATTATATTGCCCTCAAAGCTTGAAATAGTTACAATCTGGCCCATTACCTAAAGCTTTCCAGCCCCCCTGATATAAGGGAATGATTTTTGGAGAACAAGACAGTTCCTAACCATGCTTTTAAAAGATTTAAATATATCATATATATAGAAAGAAGATAATGCAGTTGAGTATTGAGTGAAGAATTTCCAAGTTAACTCTGACCTTGTTTTCAAAATAAATAATAGAAGAATTATGATATTCTGACTTTTGTTGAGCCCAGCAGTCTGCTTGCGCTATTCAAAGCACTCTGCCAGTATTAGAGGTAGAAAGGTTAAGAAGACAGGGAGTGTGAGGGAGACCGATGGTCAACACTATTTGAGGGAGGACCCAGAAAAACCAGGACTTGTCTTTTGGAGCATGGGCCCCTTGTAATACACCTGGAATTTGTTCCTCTGGACCAGACAGCCAACCCAAGTTTTTATCTAAAAGTTTTGAGAAGGTTGCATCACAATTTGCAGGAAAAAAAGTCCTAAGTTGTGGCAAACAGGTTCCCCCACTGTGACTATGCACCTGCCCACACCATGATGAGTGTTCAACTGTTTTTGACCAACACCCGCGTGACTCCCATGCCCCACCCTCCCTATTCATCTGATCTCACCCTGATCTCTCTCCCAAATGAAAAAAGTTCTCTCTCCCAAATGAAAAAAGTTGCCAGTGTGGGAGAGGTGAAACAAAAATGGCAGAAGCACTAAAAGGCATCAAGATGGGCAAGTTAAAATACCTATTTTGCCTGGCGTGGTGACTCAGCCTGTAATCCCACGCTTTGGGAGACTGAGGTGAGTGGATTGCCTGAGCCCCTGAGTTCGAGACCTGCCTGGGCAACTTGGCGAGACCTCATCTCTACAATAAAAATCAAAAAATTAGCCAGGCGTGGCACACGCCTGTAGTTCCAGCTGCTTGGAAGGCTGAGGTGGAAGGATCACCAGAGCCCAGCAAGTCGAGGCTGTGGTGACCAGGAGCGGTCACTGCCCTCCAATCTGGGCGACAGAGTGAGACTCCAATAAAAAAAAAAAAATACCTATTTTGAGCAGTCCAAAAAACATCTCTGTTAGGTGTATTGCATCAAATGGCGAGTACTTGGACTGAGAATACTTTGGCTGGCTGAAGTTTAAACATGTTAAGAGTGAATACACAATATTTTATAAATATACTCTGGGTTTTTGTTTTGTTTTGTTTTTTGGGGGGTCCCTACTCATAAGTCACCCTGTAGGGTGAGGATTATGATGGAGGAGAATAACTTTTATGAGAGTTTATACTGGGGGACCAGACTGAGTTGATGCCATCAGAAAAAATTCCTTGAGGAAGTACGTTTGAGTGCTCCTTGGAGGAGGAGAAGAAAATTACCAGGTAATGGGGGCTTTCCAGGCCAGTGGGATCCTGAGATGAGAAGCGGCAGAGCACAGTTGGGGAGCAGAGAGGAAGGCAGTGAGGCTGGTGTGAAGAGAGTGGTGAGCCAGAGAGGCTGTTGTTGTCCAGGGCTGGGAGCCTACCATCTGATGAACAGTGGAAATGAATTTTGGGGTTTTTTTTTTTTTGAGTCAAAGTCTCACTGTCGCTCAGGCTAGGGTGCAGTGGCACGCTCACAGCCACTGCAGCCTCGGCCTGCTGGGCTCAAGCAATCCTTCTGCCTCAGTCTTCTAAGTAGCTGGAACTACAGGCATGCACCACCACACTCAGCTAATTTTATAATTTATTGTAGAGTCGAGGTCTCGCCATGTTGCCCAGGCTGGTCTCAAACCCCTGGGTTCAGGCAGTCCTCTCGCCTTGGCCTCCCAAAGTGCTGGGATTACAGTCGTGAGCCACAGCACCCAGGTGGACATGGATTTTAAACAAGGGAGTCATGCTCAGATAGCCCTTTAAGATCTCTGGCTGTATTTTGGAAAACGGCTTGGGGAAGGAGAGTAAGAGCAGATGCAGGATGACCCGTAAGGAGGTTCTGGGAAAGGAAAGATGACACGAGTTCGACCTAGAGCAGGGGCCCTGGAAATGGTGCGGTATTTTGAGGGGATTGACTTGTAGGGCCAGGGATGGAGTGTCAGGTTTGAGTCCTAGGTTTCTGGCTAGCATAGGTAAGTGGATTGCCGTGCTGTTCTCACTCTCAGAAACCATGGCAGAGAAGCAGGGTAGGTTATTGTAAGTTTGCTCTAGCCAAAAAGAGGTACTGTCAACATACGCTGGATATATTGGTCTTCAACTCAGGGGAAAGGTTGGAACTAGAGCTACCAATTTGAACTTCATTGGCATACAATAGTTGTTTAAAACCGCATCAAGGGAGAGCAGTAAGAAAAGAGTCTCGGACTGGTCTCGGTGACACAGCCTGTAATCCCAGCACTTTGGGAGGCCGAGGTGAGTGGATTGCCTGAGCCTGCAGCTTCGAGACCCGCCTGGGCAACTTGGCGAGACCTATCTCTACAATAAATCAAAAATTGGCTGGGCGTGGTAGTGCACACCTGTAGTTCCGGCTACTTGGAAGGCTGAGCGGAAGGATGGTCGGAGCCCAGCAGGTCGAGGCTGCGGTGGCCGGGAGTGGCCACTGCACTCCAGTCTAGGTGACAGAGTGAGACTCCAATCAAAAAATAAAAAAAGAAAAGAGTCTCCACCCAGCCTTGAATAAACCCAGTGTTTATAGATGAGAGTGTGATGGCTGACAAAGTGATAGCCAGGTGAGTGTGCTGGCACAGAAGCTGAGAGAAGAGTGTGTTTCGAGGAGAGTGAGAGATTGGGCAGTATAGATGCCATAAGCCAAGGAAGTACAGATGAGAGAGCAGAAAGAATGGGTCAGGTGGGCGGTCAAGCGTGCACAGTTCTTAGAAGGAGAGGTGGGGAGAGGAAAGGTTTGGGCGTTAGATAAAAACAAAGGAAGTTTCATACAAAGTCTCTTCTAAAACTTCTTAACTGTTAGTCTTACTGTCACAGATTGTCACAGTGATATCAATCACTTGTCCCCTGAGAATGAGTCTGTAGGAACTTGGTTTCAGAACAGATCTTAAGTGATTTCCATTTCTTTATGCAGCCTTGGTATACTTGTTTTCCTTTTGTGGTTATTCTAATTAGGATCCCTGGTGTATTTATTCAAATAGCATTCTAGATACACTTGAGCAACTAACTTTCTGTTTGCTGTTATGCTTTTCTAAGGCAGCTCAACTGTAAATTTGTATTCGCTTTTTTCCAGCACATATATTTAGCCCTGGGTTAAATGTTGGGAAATTTCATATTTCTGGGAAACCTCTGACTAGTCATTCTATTTCAAGGGCAGTCATTTCTATCTATATATAGTAGATTTTTTAAAAAGTGGAAAGATTATGTATTGTTGGAAGTCTTAGTCATTCTAAATCACTATTTCTCATTTTGTGCATTTTAAGCTGAAAGCTATAAGAAGAGAAACACTTCTGTCTGATTTAAAGTGTGTTTTAAAAACCAATCTGTCTTTAAAATACATTGCTAACACAGGTTAGAAGTGTAAATAATAGACCTGTTTTATAGAATAGGGACCTCTGTGCACAAAAGGCTAAATGATTTCTTCTGCTGCTGCTAGTGGTGTCACCTGAGAGCTGTAGTAGCAGTCAGTAAGAAATGCTAAGTAGGGTCTTTGCTGTCAGGGGAGATCAGCTTCATGTCCTAGGCTTTCACTGGAGTTGTGGAAAGAAGAAGTCCTTGCGCCAACTCTGTGAGACGTCGAGTGTCTTGATGGTTGTAAGATCTCATTGTTTGAACAGAAGATAGCATATCATCTGCATTTAGCTGTTCAGCATTTGTTTCTAATAAATAATTTACTAATTTATGTTACTTATTTTCTGTATAGCAAATAGGCAAGGCAAGTCCGTAGAATGAAAGTTCCTTGAGGTCAGACTTTTATGTATCGGGCACTGAATACGAATGTGTTCTATGAATTGTGAGTTAATTGAGGATATACCATGTGTACCTGTGCAGTATTCTTGGAATGACTTATTATCAGGGGGGTTAGTCTACCCTAGATGGGAGACTTTGCCGTATCATAGAAAGTACCAAGATAACCTGGGCTACATGTTTCTAAGGAGCTAATGGTTCTGTGGATTTGGTCTTTGGGGACATTTTCATGTAGACATCTGGCAGATGCCTCTTTTTTCCTTCTAAAAAGCAGAAAAACCTCCCAGTGGCTATATTGACTCTTTTGGTTTCAGATGCTTTGTAATCTTCCTCATGAAAATTCACATGTAATAGAAACGATCATCTGAGTGGCCAGAAGCTCCTGAAATGCTACCTGACCTCTAGGGACAGGCCCTGTTGACTGGCAGTGTCAGTGTCCAGCACGTTGCTGCTTGCAGCTCCCTGGAGAGTGCATGTGTAGTAAACCAGTGACTCTCAGCGGCAGGAAAAGAACAGGGCCTTCTCCAAGCATGGCCATGCCACTGGGAGTCTAATTTATTTGATCCAAAAAATTGTTTTATTTTCTCAGGAGAATTCATGATAAGTGATAGAGCTTAATAACGCGTCTCTTTCAAAAGCATCAGAGGATGACCCAAGACAATTGTGTTTGGACAAAGAGGTGATATGGCAGTATGCATTTGTGAGTGTCAGGTATAAGAGATTTGTTTTTGCATAGACATGTTTTATGCAGATGAGTGGTTTGGGGTACATTTTAACACCTTACTTTTACTAGTTTGTTTCTTCACCAAGCATTTGAAAATGTGTGTTAATATTTGGTTAAGATAAGTCAGTAATGGTATAGAGCTTGTTGCCTTGTTATACAAATCATTTTTATCACCTCACTTTACATTTCATTGAAAGCAGCAAACCAAATCCCAACCAAATATCCACCAGCAATGGCAAGCCTGGTGCTGTGAATGGAGCTGTGGGGACCACGTTCCAGCCTCAGAATTCCCTTTTAGGGCGAGCCTGTGAGAGCTGCTATGGTAAGTTTTCTCCAGCAGGCGGGCTCAGCGGAGGGAACCGTCATGGTGCTGGGGTGCGGGCTGTTGTGTGGCTCCTGGGAGGGGCCTGAGGCCACACAGTGAACCACTGCCTGGAACAGAGGGGCCATTTGCTGGATCCACACTGAAGTTAGGCATAAGGTTTCTTCTGACTTGCTTCTGTGGTTTGTTGAGTATTCCATAGCAGAGTTTGCTGAACTGTGTTCAGATCGTCTTAGCTTTGTACAAACCCACAGTCCCATGATACATGCCAAGTTCCTTTTGGAATTTCTCAGTATACTTTGACAAATTAAAGCTGCACACAGTTCTGTGGAAAGGACTTGTGTGCATAAACTGCTGTTTATAGCCTTACTCCCTGGCCCTCAGGGCGCTATTCTATGATACTTGCTTTTGGCCTCCGGGCGCCACTGTATTTATCTATGCTGGCAGTGTTTTAGCTGCCCTGGGTATTAAATGGGTTCGAAGCAAGGGACTGTTAGGCAGTGGATACACTTTATATGTTTGTTTAAAATCTCAAGCAACACTATAATTTCTTAATAGGGCATTGGTGATATTGTCTTCTGTGTTTCCTTTACGGAAGGTAGACTGAAAGTCTACCTGGCACCCAGTTTTTGGCTCTCAGCTGTTGGCGGCGGATGTGGCCCGCTGCCTTCAGGACTCAGGACTAAAGGACATTTGTGATTCTGTTCCATATTCCACAACAGGAATCAGCATCAGAAAAGACTTTAAAAACCAAATAACATAATGACCTCTCCTGATCCAAGGAAGGTGTGACACAGATAGATTGCTGACTTCATAGACATGGTACCCGGGGTGTGTGCAGCCATGTTTTTGTACCGTGGGAGCACAAGGGAATTGAGTTGTGGAAAATGAGATTCTTCTGGTCAAGGTTTTATGTGGATAGCGCCACACATGCCTTGACTTGGGAATTCTTGGATTTTGAAGTTCATGTATATTTAAATGAAAATAAAAAGAATCAGCCAGCCTTGGTGACTCGCCTGTAGTCCCAGCACTTTGGAGGCTGAGGCGAATAGATTGCCTGAACCTGCGGGTTCGAGACCAGCCCGGGCAACTTGGCAAGACCTCGGCTCTACAATAAATCAAAAATTAGCTGGGGCGTGGTAGCACATGCCTGTAGTTCCAGCTACTTGGAAGGCTGAGGCAGAAGGATCGCCGGAGCCCAGCAGGTTGACCCTGGGGTGGCCGTGGGTATGCCACTGCATTCCATCCAGCCTGGATGACAGAGTGAGACTCCAACTCAGAAAAAAAGAAAAGAAAAGAAAAGAATCCTGCAGACAAATGGTAGTGGCTTAATCTGTTCTAGTTTTGGCTTACTTACCATTTTCACACTCATATATTCTGAGTATTAAATGATTATTCTGTCATTTTTATGTGTGCAATGAATAACCTATTTTTATTTTATAATATTTATTTTAGATCCATATAATTTTCATTATAAAATGTATCTTAATATAATATAGAATTTATCTTTACAGAGACATCGAATTTGGTGTTTTCTATGTATCAAGTGATACCCACTTTCTAATTTAACTTTAGTTATTTAAGGGGAAAGGCTAATTATTAAAATGATACACGTGATTAGTTTGGATAAAATTGATGTTTTAATTTAAATTTCATAATCAGAATTCAAACTAGAACCATGACTTAATATTTAAAATTTTTTAAATCTGTGTTTTTTGTTGTTTTGTTTTTTGAGTCGGAGTCTCACTCTTGTCACCTAGGCTAGAATGCAGTGGCACACTCACAGTCACCGCAGCCTCCACATGCTGGACTCTGGTGATCCTTCTACCTCAGCCTTCCAAGGAGCTGGAACCGCAAACAAGCGCCACCCCACCCAGCTAATTTTTTTATTTATTGTAGAGATGAGGTCTTGAGGTCTCACCAAGTTGCCCAAGCTGGTCTTGAACCCCTGGGCTCAGGCAATCCTCTGCCTCCTGAAGTGCTGGAATTACAGGCATGAGCCACCAGGTCTAATTCACAGTAGTGTTTTTAATTAACAAAACAAAACTCTCTCAGCTGTACTATGCATAATACAAGATGCTTCACCCAGTAGCTTCTCGTAATAGGTGCCACTGGCTATGTAACAAATGGTTTAATGAGTTCTGAGTATTGAAAAATATATGAACATACCATTATGTTTGGCTTGTAAGCTGGGGAGAGGAAAATGCCATTGTAACTAAAGATGACTTTGAAATACTTTTGCACCGTTTGAGTCCATTTGTATTGATGTTACAAATTACATAGCATTTTTAATTTTTTCCTATTTTTCTTCTATCTTTAGCTACCCAGTCTCACCAGTGGTATTCTTGGGGCCCACCTAATATGCAGTGTAGACTATGTGCAATTTGTTGGCTTTATTGGAAAAAATATGGCGGCCTGAAAATGCCCACCCAGTCAGAGGAAGAGAAGTTGTCTCCTAGCCCTACTGCAGAGGTAACTAACTGAGCAGTCGTCTTTTTAGTGATGAATATGTCATGTTTTTCAGTGACTTGATTATTCCTTGAGAACAGCAGCGCAGTACAGGATAATTTAAAAATGAACAGAGCTATTTTTTATAGCCAAAATAGCACTTCAGTGTTCTAGGTGGGTGTGGAGAGGAGCAGGGAGAAATTCGATTTTATCAGGTATTCAGCATGTTAGTCTCAGACAAAAGAACAATGAGTGTGGGAGGTGTCAGCCTAAGTTGCCTACTTACAAATGAAATGTTTGCCTTAATTGCCTTTGAAACAGTTTGTAACCTTTACATACAGTTGAAAGCGGGTCTTGCTATACAAAGTACTAAGTAGAAATGCCGCATGTTTTCCTTCCCATAGCTATTGCAGAGGGACAAGAAGTATGGAGTCACTCTTGAGGTGAACAACAGTTAAAATGTGATTTTCATAAAATCCTCATAGATTGTCGATATCAAGCACCTGTGTCCACCAAAGAGCGACAGCTTTTTCAGTGATGTCAGGGCTTCCTAACCTTTTGCACTCGAATGTCAATCCAGCAAACCATTTGGATGTCCCCTTTGGTGATTATACAGGAACAACTTATGCCAGAGAAGATTTTCCCAAAAATGTACATTTCCTTCAAGTTTTCCATTCAAATTACACGACAAAGCAAACAAAGAGATGGGACATATACTGAGGTAGGAGCTATCAGTTGAGAAGTGGTTTTCAGGAAGCATAAGTGTGTCCTTCCACATAGTATTCAAACAACATACTGGACAATAAATTATATATTATTAATGTGGGAAGAAAAAAAACAGAACTGCATTTTCTGCTGGAATAGAACACCAGGTAGAAGACGTCAAACAAATTACTATTTACAACATTTATCAATGCATGTCGGTTACTGTTTCACATGTTAACCACACATAAGAAAATTGTAGGATGTAAAATTTTGATTTTTTTTTTTGGTCATGAATAAGTTCCTCATTGTCCAAAATTTCATTATCAGCCAAATATCATTATCATAAAATAATTGGTTCTATGATTCGTTTTTCACTATTTTGTAAAAAAGTGCAGCCAAGATGCTGGTAGGTGATCTGCGAGTTGTCTCCAAGAGCAAAGGGTTAATATTATTAAAAAAAAAAAAAAGTGAGCTGGGCTCGGTGGCTCAGCCTGTAATCCCACGCCTTTGGGAGGCTGAGGTGAGTAGATTGCCTGAGCCCACGGGTTCAAGACTCGCCTGGGCAGTGAGACCTCATCTCTACAATAAATCAAAAAATCAGCTGGGCATGGTAGCACATGCCTGTAATGC